CCCCCCCCGCGCGCGCGCGCAGCATCCTCACCGAGGAGTTCCTCTACCTTCAGACCACATTCCAGGACCAGCAGGCCTCCGCCGGTGTGCTGCGCATCAACCGCGATGACGGCGCCATCTCCCTCGAGCGTATGTCCATCCTTCCTGGATTCTGCCCCTCCCCTCCCCGCCCTACAGCTCCGGCTGCTGCCCTGCTCTCTGACCCCCCTTTGCTCTTACCTCCTCGAAAGGCGAGATGCCCAGCGGCTCCCCGAAGCTGATCGATGCCTTCCTCGGCCTGATCAACCTCCACAGCGGTGCGTGCCCTCCTGTCTGCATGTGTCTTGCTCCGGTTGCTCGCTGGCATGCCGGATGCCCTAACCCTGTCTCCCCCCTCCCAGGCCTGCACATGGTCACCGTCGAGGCCTCCCGCCGTGTTGGCCGCATCGGCGAGTCCGATGCCGTTTACATGCTGCAGGATGTTTCCATCACGCGCATCTCCCGCAGCCCCGAGGACAACCTCACCCCTGTGCAGGTACGCAGCCTCCCCCTGCACCGTTTCTCGGATGACCCACCTGCCTTCCAGACATCTCACCCCCCCCCCCCCGCCTTCCCCCTTCCCCTGTCCGTCATGCGCAGCTCTCCACCGATCGTGACCATTGCGACATGATCGCCCGGCTGCTGGTCAAGGGCGGCTTCTACTTCAGCCCTACCTACGATCTGAGCCGGTCGCTGCAGGCCCAGCGTGACCTGCAGCAGGCCAACCCCGCGTACCAGGACAAGCTCCTGAGCCGGCGCTTCGACACTGCCTTCAACTGGGCCTCCTTCCTGCAGTTCCCCCTGATGAAGCAGATCATGGCCGACTCGACTGGCAGCCTGGCCGGCGCCGCTGCCTTCCTGATGCCCATCATGTGTGGCTTCGTCTCCATCAGCCCCGTCACCATGTCCAACGGCCGGTCCTTCGATTACATCCTGCTCACCCGGCGCTGCGTCTTCCGTGCTGGCACCCGCTACAACACTCGCGGTGTGGATAGCACCGGGCGCGTGGCCAACTACAACGAAACCGAGGTCCAGGTCCGCCTGGCCGGTGCCTCCGGCCCGGGTGACATTATGTCCTACCGTCAGACCCGCGGTTCGATGCCCTTCTACTGGCGCCAGATCACCAACCTGCGCTACACCCCGGCGTTGGAGTTTGACAACCTCGCTCTTTGTGTGCGTCCGCGCCTTTTGCCGTTCTCTCTCCCTCCCTCCCTCTCTCTCTCTCTCTCTCTCTCTCTCGCCTCTGTCCCCTTCCATTTTCCTCCCAACAAATGCCTCGCCCGATGTCCCTTTTTTTTCATGCATCAATGCTCACACTCTGCCTTCTCTGTCTCCTCCCCTCTCTCCTCTCCTTGTTCTTCCCCTTAGCTCGATGTCTTCAAGAAGCACTTCAACGACGAGGTCAGCAAGTATGGCGACGTCGTGGCCGTGAACCTGATCAACGCCGGCGGCTATGAGGGTCGCCTGGGCCAGATGTTCGGCGAGCTCATCGAGAACATCGATAACCCGCGTGTTCAGTGCGTTGGTTGTTTCGGGCCTTGTCTTTCTCTCCCTCTCTCGCATGTCCTTTTCTTGTTCCCCCCCCCCCCCCCCCTTTCGCTTCCACCCATCTCACATCATCCCATTCCGCCTGTCCTCCTTCAGCTATCTGCACTTCGACTTCCATGCCGAGTCTAAGGCTGGGCGCCTTGCCAACCTGACTGCCAAGACCGAGGCTCTCGGCGAGCGCCTTGCTGTTCAGGGGTACATGCACAAACATGCACCCAATCTCCCTCTCTCTGCCTCTCTCTCTCTCTATGCTTCTCTGCCTCGCTTCCCCCCTGCCTCTCTCTCCCTCTTTATTCGTCGCCTGCCTACACATGCTCACCGTTTGCACTTTCCCATCAAACTCCTTCTCAGCTTTTTCCATGAGTCCCCCGACGGCCAGGTTCTCTCGCGCCAGCACTCGATCGTGCGCACCAACTGCATGGATTGCCTGGACCGTACCAATGTGGCGCAGGAGATGTTCGCCCGCCTGGCGCTGGTGGATTTCCTCAGCCGCTCCGGCATCCTCTCCTCGGCCAGCAGCGATGCCATCCCCTCCAACCTGGACTACATCCTGCGCAACGGTATGTCACCATCCGGTGTCTTTCTCTCCCTCTCCTTCTCTCTCTCTCTCTCCACCTTGACACACCTTCCCAAACTGACCCCTCCCTTCTGCTCTGCCTCCCTTCCCCGCATGTGCACAGTTTGGGCCGATAACGCCGACGCCGTGTCCACCTTCTACTCCGGCACTGGTGCTCTGAAGACCGACATCACCCGGTACGCGGAGCAATATGTCCTGCCGTTCCTCCCAAGCCGCTCCTCTCTCTCTTCCCACCACTGGACGCCTTCTTACCAGGTTTCATTCCCCCCCCCCCCGCCCCCCCCCCCCCCCCCCTTGTCTACGCCTGTGCATCTTCTCAGCACTGGCAAGCGCACCATGCGTGGCGCCCTCCAGGACGGCATCAACTCCCTGCAGCGCTACCTGACCAATCAGTTCCTGGATGGCCGCCGTCAGGATGCCATTGACGCTCTTCTTGGCCAGCAGTCCACCACTGCCAGCCCCGATGACGATGCCAACGCCGCCAACAAGGTCGTCCGCCCGGCCGGTGTCAAATACGTATGTCTCCCTCCTGTGTTCTCGGCCCACCTCCCGCCCCCGCGCCCCCGCGCCCCCCCCTCCCCCATCGTGCTCTTCCCTTTGGCCAAGGAGCGACTCCAAACTTACCCCCCCCCTCCTCCAGATGCCCTTCCTGTTCTTCCTCTCCCTCTTCAACGTGGCGGCCACCCTGGTCAACCGGCCCTGTACGTGGTGCCTCGCATATTCGCCTCTCACTTGGGGTCCCCCCTCCCTCTTCTTCCCCCTCGCTTGGCCCTCACTCACCGCGCGATGCAGCTTCCCCGACCTACACCTTCCTGATTCTGGCCTTCTGGTCGGGCCTGGCTTTCACTTCGGCTCGGGGGATCCTCAACAACGGGGGACACCTGGTCAGCCGGCCCCGGATTTGGGATCCCCGTTCCGGCCGTGTCAAGCCCTTCTGGAGCCCCAGCTGCCTGTCGGATGGCGACTGCCAGTAATAGGCGCTGGCCCGGGGCCGGGAGAGCAAGTCCACGGCCCTGGCTTCGTGACTCATCATCTCCTCGCTCGCGCGCGGAGGTATCCGCATGTCCGACACATATGCCACACGATCGCGAGGAGGGGGTGCCCCCCCCCCCCTCCACGGAGCTCCAATGGTCAACCGCCGAACATTCCTCCGAGGGAGTGCATTAGTGCATGTCCCACCTCCCCCCCCCCCTCTCTCTCTCTCCTGCCCGAAAGGGGTGAAAAAGAATAAAAAGAAAGATTGTCCAGCCGATTGCGCCCAGTCCAAGGGAAGGCCCATTCCTTGCCTTCTGCCAAGCTGGCATGCGCGCGAGTGGGGGTCAAATCTATCAATGTATATTGTATGTGTGTGAGGGGGAAGGGAGGCGCGCGGATGGGCTGCCGCTGGCGATGGTTTTTTTTTCCGTCTCCCGTTGAGGCATGAGGAAAGGCCCGGCAGGTGTGGATGCGGATATACGGTGCGATGGGCACACTGGACGCGCTGAGGCACACGCCATGTGAACAAGGTAGGACGCGCCGGGGAGGCTTCCTGCCAGGGCTTTTTTTTTTCCTTCTTAGATCTGCGTGATACGGGGCTTGTGCGGCGGGGTGTCCATCGGGTCCAGCATGTCCAGGGGCATGGTGCGCTCAAGGGCCGGCTTGAGAGCGTACGCCGGCGAGCCGAGTGGCACATTGGACCAGGACTCGTAGCGGCGATCGATGACACGGAAGAGACGCGGGGCGTCGGTTTGCAGCTCCAGGCGCGCCTCGCGATGGAGGGCCACCTTCCTGCGGATGTGCTCCACATGCAGGTTATGCTGGGCCTGGCGGAAAATCCGGTTGGCGTAGAGGATGAAGTTCACACGTTCGCGGTTCTCCAGAGTGTCGGGCGAGTACTTGGTGGGGATGTCACCGACGGGGTTGATGAAGTCCACCGTGCGGGCCAGGACGGCCTGAGCCTCCTTCGGGTCTTCGGGCGAGGGGTGGTGGTGGTGGTGGCGGCGGCGACAGTGGGCATGTGAGCATAAGGCGGGCGGGGCGGGCGGAGCAGGGGAAGACAGAGAGGGCAGGGAGGCAGGCGTCGCGCCGAACGGCAAAGAGAGGGGCGAGGAGAGGCGAAGAGGAGGGAGGGGGAGAAGGCGCACCCATGATGATGTCATCCTCGCTGACAGTCTTCTTCTTGGCGGACTTCTTGGCGGCCTTCTTGGAGTAAAACTGGGCACCAGCTGGGGTGGCCAGGACCACCTGGGGGCGCGCAGCGGCGACGGCGGTAAGACGGTGCGCGGCGGCGGCGGAGGTGGAAAGCAGCCCACGAGAGAGCATTTTCGGGCGACTTCTCCTGAGCGATTCTGGAGAGCCCCCCGACGAGGAAAAAGGGCCGCACGTAAACATTCGAACAGGAGGTCAGTAGCTGCAGCGAGAGGCAGGACAGGCCGGTGGAGAGGAGCGGGATGCGTGGCAGGCGAAGTGCGCGAGGCGGAGGCACGAACAGGGTGCAGGGGCGACAGCAGGCGGATGGGCAGAGGAGCGGGGTGCGGGATCGGCCCGGCCGGCCCGGCCCCCAGGGGTGGCCGCCGAAAATGATGCGCCTGACGGATCGCCGCGCCTCCCCCACCGACCCCAGGGCCGAGCGGAGGTGGTGTGTGGGAGCGCGCGGACCCTCCCCTTCCTCCCCCCCCCGGCCGGTCGCCCTCCTGCACTGTGCCGTCTGCGCTGCCAGCCAACCGCCCGGGGAGGGGGCGCGGGGGGGGGGGGGGGGCAAGGACGCCGAGCCCTGGGGTTGAACGTGGCCTTTGCAAATAGGTCGCACGTGTGAAGTGCGCTGGCACTTCTCTCGGGTGGGCGCGTCTCTCGCGTCGCGGGGTTCTGCAACTATAGAAGGCCGGCCGCTCCGTTCCCCTTTGCATGGGGAGGGGGGGGGGCTTGGGCATTGTAGGCTCCGATTCGGAATAAATCGGCTCCTTGTGGGGGTGGCGAGATGCAGAGGAGGCTCGGCCGGAGGGCCGAGGGGAGGGCCCCCCTCGACGCGAGATTTCCGCCGAGGGAGAGTCCGTGCACATGCGCGTGCGCGAGCACACACCCTCTTCTCCCCCCTCCCCTTGTCCTTGGTCGTGTGTCCCGCGACGCCCAACGGAAATATCATGCTTCCTGGCGGTGAGGCCGGCCCGGAGGCCAGCTCGGCTCAGTTGGCAGGCGCCGCCCCGGTCCTAGGCTCTTGGCCCTTGGCCGGCGGGCACGCGCGCGCGCGCACGCACGCACGCACGCAGGTGTACACTCTCTCTCTCTCTCCCCGGGAAAATGTGTGCCGGCTCCTGTAGGGCCGTTCCGTGGGAGGGGGTGGCCGGTGCCCGTGGAACAGGGGAGGTGTTGAGGCCTGTTGCACACGGGCCCACAGGGGTGCACGGTCGATCTGCCCGGATTTGGGCCCCCCCCCCACCGACCGACCACGGAAAACGCCCCTCCCACCAGTCCGACCCCTCCTTCCACTCTCGCCATTTGATTGCCCTGCGTGTGTCCCTGCCTTCTCCGGTCGCCGAAGGCACTCTTCCCCCTGTCCTCCATCGGCATGACTTCCAACGCCGCGAATGCCGCCCGCCGCGATGAGCATCAGCTGCGCTTTATCCTGGTACCGCCCTCCCCTCCTCCCTGCACCTTTCACCTTGTGGGCGATGGCATGCCTCCCGGGATCCCCGGGCGCACTGTCATCCGGATGCCTCTCTTCCTCCCCTTCGGTCGTGCTCTTACTGACCTGGCTTCCTCGCTCCGCAGCAACTCCACGACTCGCAGCAGTATCGCAATGCGCTCAAGGAATGCGACAAGATCCTGAAGAAGCAGCCGACCAGCGGTGGTTCGTTTGTCCCCCCCCCCCCCCTATACTTCCATGCCTCGGCCCCCCTCACGTCCAACCACC